TCCGTATAGAATTTTCTATTTTTCTGGGTGCTTACTCTTCATTTATGAGTGGTGGTTGTTTTGGCCAGTCCGACCGATCACTCTGGCACACGTAGTTTTGTGCAAGAGCACAACAACTTTAGTGTTGGCCGTAACGGTCGCTTTGGCACAATCTGATCAGAATGGCACATACTGTTGAATGTGCGTGCACAAAGGGCGTGGCTACAATTATACAGCACGTGATGACACACAAGTTTGGTATCGAGTGCACACGTTCTAGTATTAACAATTCTTGGTGGTTGCAGTTGGCAGATTGGCACACAGGTGTATTCTCGTGTGCACACTATTATCTATGTTCCTTGATTAGCGTATCAGCCTCGGTCATGTGGGTATGCACGGTGAATATGTTCCTTATTAGTGTTTCCGTATAGAATTTTCTATTTTTCTGGGTGCTTACTCTTCATTTATGAGTGGTGGTTGTTTTGGCCAGTCCAATCGATCACTCTGGCACACGTAGTTTTGTGCAAGAGCACAACAACTTTAGTTTTGGCCGTAACGGCCGCTTTGGCACGGTCTGACCAGAATGGCACATACTGTTGAATGTGCATGCACATAGGGCGTGGCTACAACTATACAGCACGTGATGACACACAAGTTTGGTATCGAGTGCACACGTTCTAGTATTAACAATTCTTGGTGGTTGCAGTTGGCAGATTGGCACACAGGTGTATTCTCGTGTGCACACTATTATCTCTGTTCCTTGATTAGCGTATCAGCCTCGGTCATGTGGGTATGCGCGTGATGGGTGTCGAAACCAACAAATAATAAATTACTTACTCTATGATTTGCAATAGTGATGAGTAAGGTCGTACCCACAGAGATTGGTCAGACTTATTTTTAATCAAAGATTTAATAAAGGAAGAGATGAGAATTGAAAATTAAATAGCATCCATAAAAAGGCAATCAATATGAAATATCAAATAATAATAATAATCAATAGCAACTAGTATCCAACTCAAGGAATAATATCAATTCAATTTTAACAAGATAGATCATTGATTTTCAAGAAATAATTACTTTACTCTTTACCAAATTGGTTATGGTTATTAACAAGCTCTAATAACCTATCTTTCCTTACTTTGTCGATAATCAAAACAAGCTCTTTGATTACTTCCCTAGCTAATAAACAACCCTAAACAAGCTCTTAGGATTTAATTTACTAACAGCATTAAAAGAATTAGAAAGACTACCAATTCTAACCAACAGACTCGCAAGCTCGGTCTATTTAAACTAGATTATACATCTCCATAACATAAGATTGAAAATCTATTTATAATCAACTATGTTATTTGCTACTAGCTTTAGAACACTTAAACAATTACGGATTCAAAGTTCTAAATAGCAATTTAATACCTTGACAATTGAACAAAGGGCCCTTTTGCAACAATTAATCAAGCAATAATTAAAACTCATATAACAGGAGATATATAAATAATAAAGAGTTCAGAGAATAAAATTAAGCTAAATAAATCTCACTGGTCTTGTAGAATCAAACTTCAATAATCCTTGAATTGGAAAATTAAAACTCAGCAGTACATTGCAGGGAGTGTTTACAAAGTAAATAAAATTGTTCTGAGAAAACTCATTTCCCTATACTGCAAAATTCATCCCTATTTATACTAATTCAGGCTCCTCAATTAGCTCAAAATAGCCCTAATTTCACTAACATCCACAAAATAATACAATTTCTTCAACCATACAAAACAGAAAATAAATAATATTTATTTCCCTAATTTCTACGCACCAGGTAAAATATGAGGAATAAGCTTTGTTCATCGCCTGATGCTACAAAATCGCCCATAGCCATTGAATTTCCATCACAATTTGCAAGCGCAAGCTGAGTCGTCTGTCGCAGCATATCTCGGGCGTAGTCTTCGTTGCTGTTTTGCCGATGGAATCGTAGTCGAAATATTCAATTTGTCGGACGTCGTATGAAGAAGTCTTGCACTGGTCTTCTCCCTAAAGCCTACGTACAAAGAAAGGCATAAAAGGATTGGGCTTCAGAACATACAAAATAATTAAATGATCAGACGTTATGCCATGGAACCGTGTTCACCATTCATGGTGAACACGGTTCCAACGGTGTTAGTACACCGTTATCTTTTTTTTTTTTTTTTAAATTAATTGCGTGACTTTTCTTCTTTATTTTCACATTTTGCGGTTTCACTTTAATTTGAGATGAACAAATATTTCGGACATTCATAAATTATGAATTCATGCCTGCACATTCACTTTGGAACCATGCCTACACATTCCTGTCCGAAATCATGGACATTCATAAATTATGAATCCATGCCTGCACATTCACTTTGGAACCATGCCTACATATTCACTTTGGAACCATGAGATTATGAATTTTCTGTTATAAGATTATGAATTTTCTGTTATGAGATTATGAATTTTCAGTTATGAGATTATGAATTTTCTGTTATGCGATTATGAATTTTCTGTTATGAGATTATGAATTTTCATTACATTCATAATTTCGGACATTCATAAATTATGAATTCATGCCTGCACATTCACTTTGGAACCATGCCTACATATTCCCGTCCGAAATCACGGACATTCATAAATTATGAATCCATGCCTGCACATTCACTTTGGAACCATGCCTGCACATTCACTTTGGAACCATGAGATTATGAATTTTCTGTTATAAGATTATGAATTTTCTGTTATAAGATTATGAATTTTCAGTTGTGAGATTATGAATTTTCTGTTATGCGATTATGAATTTTCTGTTATGAGATTATGAATTTTCATAAAATTCATAATCTCATAACAGAAAATTCATAATTTGATCAAACGCGCGCCGTTAACTCCACATCCGCGAATTTTTTTTTTTTTGCCTAAAAACGACGTCGTTTTGCCTTGTGTTCACCATTCTCGGTGAACACGATTCCATGGCATAATTTGCGTTAAATGATAAAGTGGGCCAAATAACTACTAAGCCTATAAACTAATTAAGCCCAACACTTATTAATTTGTTGATTAAGCCTAATTATTCAACTAATATTATATTTGTGCAAAACATAAAATAAAGTTCAAAATAAATAGATTATTAAATAAATTAAACTGATTTATTATAAAATATAATATAAATTAAATATATAAATCGTACTCATCAAAATTCCCCACACTAATCATTTGCTTGTCCCCAAGCCAAAACATTATTTAAGAAAAATATAAATATGTAAAAACTCATAACATTTCATGAACATTGGTCTCAAGCACATTATAAATAACTAGCTAGCAATTTATTTAAAAATTGAGTAAACTAAATAACCAAGCTCTCACGGGAATATCACTCATAACGCACAAGTGTTTGAAGGGTGTGTGTATAAATTTCACTCAAATCAATTCCAACAGAAATGCTCTACCATAGGCTTGCATATGTTCTCATTATCCACTACAAGATAACATGCATGATCAAATCATAAGTACTTTTTTATGGTTGTAATGGGGCTAGGGTAAAGGGTAGGAATTATTTGGAAAAGTAGTTTAAAAAGCCTTCAAAACTAGAGGAGCAAAGATTGAATGAACATAACCAAAATAAAACTCAAACAAATCAACTTGTTATTTTGATAGTTCAACTCAAACTAAATAATCTATCACATCCCAAAAGAAACAATTCATAGTTTAGTAAAAATAATAATAATAACAAAATAATAATAATTCTTTTTTCTTTCTTTTCACTTTCGTCATTTTTTTCCTTTATTCTTCTTTTGATTCTTTTTTCATTGCTTTTCTTTTTTCTTTTCTTTTTTTTTTCTTTTCACTTTCTTTCTCTTCGAAGAAAGACAATTTCCATAACACATTCCAGACTATTTAGAAACAATCTCAAAAATTGAAACAATTACATCAACTCATTTCCCATTATCTACTATCCTTTCTTTTTGAAAATACCAACCAAAAAGCTCATAGAATTCCAATGACAAATTCATTATTCTCACTCACAGATACTTTAATTTGTCAACATTTTTTCCCACACTCAAATCTTAATGCATTTACCCAATCATAGCTCCCCTAATCTTTTAGGCAAGGTTAAGGAAATTAATTTCAGGTATGAGGCTTATAATGTGGTTCCATAACAACAAAAATACAGTTAAAAAGACTCAAAGTGGCTAACAAAGGATAAATAAATCATGGTATGAATAGGCTATTTGGCTAGTGAGGCTAAAAATCAAAGATGGCCTCAATCATATTAAAATCATACATGCATCAAATTAGCCTTAAAGAGAATCAATGCAAGTTCTAGAGATACAAATCTATGGAAGATATCACACAAGAACAAAATAATTGGACTGAAGTGTCAGTCAAAGGCTCAAAATCTCACAGGTTCATGCTTGCTTAGTTTAACCACCACATATCAAACAAAATACTAAACTAAATAATCATAATATGCAAGACCAATTATTCAATTATGTTATGAATTTTAGTAAAAATACTATATTTTTTGAAAAATTTATTAGTAAAAATATTATATTATATTTTTTGAAGGGAAGAATTAAATAATGAATAATAGTTAAATCCCCTCCCCACACTTATTCTTAACATTGTCCCAAATGTTAAATATAATGTAAAGATAAGAGAAAAATTAATAAAAATGCAAAACAAATAAAGGAAAGAATAGAATAAACTCCCATTGGGTTGCCTCCCAAGCAGCGCCTTTCTTTAACATCTTTGGTTAAACACCGTCGCCCTCCTAACAAATCCTCAACGTTGGAATTTCTGCTCAGCGCAACATTCATTTCGTCATCAATCAAATGAGAACTATCTTCCTGCAATAAAATATTCACAGCAAAAACAGATGATATGCCATTCAAATGTTTCATGGTAGTATTAAATATATCAAATTTTATAATTTCACCATCAAACTCCATTGTCAATGTACCATCATGCACATCAATTTTCGATTTAGTTGTTTTCAGAAATGGCCTTCCCAACAATATTAGTGTTCAATCATAAGAATTATTATTATCTTCTCCCATATCAACTACATAAAAATCAGCAGGAAAAACTAAATCTTGCACTTGTACTAAAATATCTTCCAAAACACCTCTAGGATACACATTAGATCTATCAGCAAGTTGAAGAATTATACCCGTTTCTTTTAATGGACCAACATTCAGTGATGAATAAACAGACAAGGACATGACATTAATTGAAGCTCCAAGATCTAACATTGCTCTTTCAATATTAATATTACCAATCTTGCAAGGGATAGCAAACATACCTGGGTCTTTACACTTGGGAGGTAATTTTTTTTGAAGGATAGCTGAAACATTTTCCCCCATGCTTACTATTTCATTGCCTTTTAACTTTCTTTTATTTGTGCACAACTCTTTGAGAAATTTAGCATACCGAGGAATTTGTTTAATAGCATCAAGTAAAGGAATATTTACCTCAATTTTTCGAAATGTTTCAAGAATTTCTTTCTCTTCTTCATTCTTTTTGGATTTAGCCAATCTACTAGGAAAAGGTGGAGGAATTACCAAAGACTTCGGGAGTTCCCCAATAAGATTTTGATCATTTTGAGGCTGAGAGACTTCTTTTTCAGTTTCCTCATCTTGGTTGGGTGTTTTTCTTACTTGAGTATGCTCTTTCAACTCTTTTCCACTCCTCAATGCAATTGCACTTACATTTTGCTTTGGATTCACAACAGTTTGTGATGGCAATTTACCTTGAGACTCCAATCTACTCACGGTAGATGCTAGTTGGCTCACCTGACTTTCCAAGTGTTGAATACTTGTCCGTGTTTCTTGCTGAAATTGTTGTGTGTTAGTAGCAAGTGATTTAACAATATCTTCCAATGATGTACCTGAATTAGAAGATGATTGTTGTGAGGATGAAGGTTGTTGTTGTGGAACATGCTGATATTGTTGAAATTGTGGGCGTGCTTTATAGCTAAAATTAGGATGATCCCTCCATCCTGGGTTGTATGTATTTGAGTAGGGATCATAATTTCTTTGTGGTTGTCCCGGAAATCCTCCAACTGCATTGACACCCTCACAAGAGTTGTATTGAAGCGTCGGGCACATGTCAGTTGGATGGCCAGTAACAGCACAAATTCCACAAGCTTTTACTTGTTGCACATTTCTTACAACTAACTGTTGAACAAGAGTAGTTAATTGAGATAATTTATTGTCAATGGAAGAAATATTTACCTCATTCACTCTTCTTGGAGATGCGTCTTGTCTACATCCAAATTGTTGTGAATTAGCAGCCATGATGGATATCAAATCTCTAGCATCACGAGGGGTTTTGTTCACTATAGCACCTCCACTAGCTGCATCCATCATATTTCTTTCCATGGGCAGCAATCCTTCATAGAAGTATTGAATGAGGAGTTGTTCAGAAACTCCATGTTGGGGGCAACTTGCACACAGTTGCTTGAAGCGTTCCCAGTATTCGTGGAGGGTCTCTACGTCTCTTTGCTTAATGCCACATATTTCTCTTCTAATGCTAGCTGCTCGTGAAGCTGGAAAAAACTTTTCAAGAAATAGTCTTACCATATCCGCCCATGTGGTTATTGTGCTAGGAGGAAGGTAAAATAACCAATCCTTTGCTCTATCGGCTAGTGAGAATGGGAAGGCACGCAGTTTGATTTGATCTTCCGTTACTCCTTGTGGTTTGAAGCTTGAACACACCACGTGGAACTCCTTTAAGTGCTTATGTGGATCTTCATTTTCAAGTCCACGAAAAGTCGGAAGTAATTGAATCAAACCTGACCTTAATTAAAAACCAACCTCTAATGCAAGATGTTGAATACAAAGCGGTTGTTGATTAACATTTGGTGCAGAAAGCTCCCGCAAGGTCCTTTGTTCTTCGGCCATTGCTTGCTCTACTTCGGGATTGCAACAAGAAGCAATTGATTCAGTTGTGGTATTTGATTGAAGGGATGTTGATGACAGGGATTGATTTTTGCGCAGCTTAGTTTCCTTCCTCAACCTTTTAGCCGTCTTCTCAATTTCAGGATCGTATTGCAATTCACCTGTACGAGAAGAACGTGACATAAAAATAAATCTATTTAACACCAATCCCCGGCAACGGCGCCAAAAATTTGATGGGTGTCGAAACCAACAAATAATAAATTACTTACTCTATGATTTGCAATAGTGATGAGTAAGGTCGTAACCACAGAGATTGGTCAGACTTATTTTTAATCAAAGATTTAATAAAGGAAGAGATGAGAATTGAAAATTAAATAGCATCCATAAAAAGGCAATCAATATGAAATATCAAATAATAATAATAATCAATAGCAACTAGTATCCAACTCAAGGAATAATATCAATTCAATTCTAACAAGATAGATCATTGATTTTCAAGAAATAATTACTTTACTCTTTACCAAATTGGTTATGGTTATTAACAAGCTCTAATAACCTATCTTTCCTTACTTTGTCGATAATCAAAACAAGCTCTTTGATTACTTCCCTAGCTAATAAACAACCCTAAACAAGCTCTTAGGATTTAATTTACTAACAGCATTAAAAGAATTAGAAAGACTACCAATTCTAACCAACAGACTCGCAAGCTCGGTCTATTTAAACTAGATTATACATCTCCATAACATAAGATTGAAAATCTATTTATAATCAACTATGTTATTTGCTACTAGCTTTAGAACACTTAAACAATTACGGATTCAAAGTTCTAAATAGCAATTTAATACCTTGACAATTGAACAAAGGGCCCTTTTGCAACAATTAATCAAGCAATAATTAAAACTCATATAACAGGAGATATATAAATAATAAAGAGTTCAGAGAATAAAATTAAGCTAAATAAATCTCACTGGTCTTGTAGAATCAAACTTCAATAATCCTTGAATTGGAAAATTAAAACTCAGCAGTACATTGCAGGGAGTGTTTACAAAGTAAATAAAATTGTTCTGAGAAAACTCATTTCCCTATACTGCAAAATTCATCCCTATTTATACTAATTCAGGCTCCTCAATTAGCTCAAAATAGCCCTAATTTCTCTAACATCCACAAAATAATACAATTTCTTCAACCATATAAAACAGAAAATAAATAATATTTATTTCCCTAATTTCTATGCACCAGGTAAAATATGAGGAATAAGCTTTGTTCATCGCCTGATGCTACAAAATCGCCCATAGCCATTGAATTTCCATCACAATTTGCAAGCGCAAGCTGAGTCGTCTGTCGCAGCATATCTCGGGCGTAGTCTTCGTTGCTGTTTTGCCGATGGAATCGTAGTCGAAATATTCAATTTGTCGGACGTCGTATGAAGAAGTCTTGCACTGGTCTTCTCCCTAAAGCCTACGTACAAAGAAAGGCATAAAAGGATTGGGCTTCAGAACATACAAAATAATTAAATGATAAAGTGGGCCAAATAACTACTAAGCCTATAAACTAATTAAGCCCAACACTTATTAATTTGTTGATTAAGCCTAATTATTCAACTAATATTATATTAGTGCAAAACATAAAATAAAGTTCAAAATAAATAGATTATTAAATAAATTAAACTGATTTATTATAAAATATAATATAAATTAAATATATAAATCGTACTCATCAGCGCGGTGAATATGTTCCTTATTAGTGTTTCCGTATTGGAATTTTCTATTTTTTCTGGGTGCTTACTCTTCATTTATGAGTGGTGGTTGTTTTGGCCAGTCCGATCGATCACTCTGGCACACGTAGTTTTGTGCAAGAGCACAACAACTTTAGTTTTGGCCGTAACGGCCGCTTTGGCATGGTCTGACCAGAATGGCACATTCTGTTGAATTGTTAATACTGTCTTGTGTGCACTGAATTCTCCCTCTCCTTGATTTGTTTTCTCGGATGCACGACGCACGTCAAACCCAGTACTCTTTGCGTATGTTTGGTAAAACTGAATTGTAGCTTCCAAAGTAGTAAACACCTGACCCGCGAAAGGCTTCTTGGTGGCTTCACACTCTGGAGACCAGTACTTCGTTGTGACAAGAGAGATGTTGATAACACAGCCTGTTGAGCCGGGTTCATCTGTAGAGCAGTGAAAAGTTATTAATACAAAATGTTGGAAACCGATTATGATTTTAGGTTTGAGCCATTATGCACTCCTATTGTGGGGTATTGACCAGTTTGGCATATTCGAGAACATGTAGAGGCACACACGGCGCATCGGGAGCAGAGATTTGGGTTTCATCCCTAATTGGCACGTACCTGAGCACATAGGTGCACACATGCTACTCTGTAATTACGAGCATAGGGTACATACAATGATCCGGAATTGTACATTAAAATTAGCCGGCACACAGCAGGGGGTGGCGGTTTCCGTCTGTGCACTTTAGTGCCTCAGGGTGTGCCGTTCCACTCATCTGCCGGCTTGCATAACAGAATTCAGCATTCCAAATTCAATTTAATTCAACAATCGGATGACAAACACCGTAATGGGGTTTCAGTGGACTTACTTTCGTTGTTGTTTGTTGTCGCCATTCTCTCCGGTGAGTTTCTTGGTCGTTTCCCGTAGTTGAACCTTTTGTGTCGGATGCACTGTCCGTAATTTGCAGGCGACGGTCGTGAGTAGCCCTGGAGTGGATGTGGAGATCGTTGAATTAGAGTCCTAGTGAATTCCTTCTTCTTGGCCTAAATACTAGGGATGTAATCAATTTTATTATTTAAGTCAAAATTATTAGGGGGCTAAAATTACCCTTAAAACCTTTTGAATCTTTTATATTAATGATTAATTGACTTAGATCCAAAGGCTGGGATGGGTTCTTATGTTCTCACCTATTGAATGGTTCCTACTTGAAGGCCACCCTATATATATATATATATATATATATATATAGGGAAGGGATTAGGTGCATTTGTGGCTTCCCGTGCGGTTATGCGGTAGATTAATGTGCGTGAGTTATATACTTAATGTGCGTGAGATTTGTACTTAATGTGCGTGAGTGTGTAATGTTAATGTGCGTGAGTTTTGTACTTAATGTGCCTGAATATTGTTCTTAATGTGCGTGAAGTTTGTGCTTAATGTGCGTGACTTGAGTTCAGAATTACGAGCTCAGAAGGAAGTAGAACAGAAAGAGAAGGTGGGTGAAGCTTTTCTGATTGTGTGTGAATTGATGGATATATGTAAACGCACATATGGCTGTTCTGATTTTATGTTAAAAACAAGACAAAATCCATTCCTCCACCACTTCGAAACAAAAAACAAGAAGAAAATGCAGCAGTGGATGCGCATCATTTTCACAGCAGTGGATAAAGAACACACTCCACGCATATTAAGCACACAACTCACGCATCTTAGGCACAAGACTCACACACCCTAAGTACAAAACTCGCGCACATTAACATTATACACTCACGCACATTAAGTACAAATCTCAGGCACATTAGCACAATACTCACGAACATTGAGTACAAATCTCACGCACATTAATCAACCGCACAACCGCACAGAAACCTAACACTATATATATATATATATATATATATATATATATATATATATATATATATATATATATATATATATATATATATATATATATATATAATAAAACAGAATCGTAGATTTCCCTCCAAAACTAGCATTCCCTCCAAAATTGTGAATGGGCTTTGGGAAAATGGGATGCAGCAATGGGATAGGTTTGGCCCAGAAATTAAAAAAAAAATGTAATTATATATTGGCCCAACATTTGTTATATTAAAATTTTTATTTTTTATTAAGTTAGTATGTATGTATATATATATATATATATATATATATATATATATATATATATATATATATATATATATATATATATATAATCGCACTCAGGTGCGAATGCTTCGCCCAGGCGCGAAATAGGAATGAATTCTGTCCGTCCACCTGTCCAGATCTAATGGATGAGAAACACTGTTTTTTTTTTAAAACACGGTGGCATTTTCGTAAATAATTGAACATCGAAGTGCAAGTAAAATGTATTACAAGTGCATGTAAAATGTATTATAGGTGCAAGTAAAAATTTACACTGAGCATCAATACTTAGTTGCACCTATAGTTCTAAGTAGTTGCACATATAGTTATAAGTAGTTGCACCTAGGTGTATGAATGTTTGCGAGTGGTTTTCAGGGGTATTACTACCCGCTGAACTCAGACCAATGAATGTTAACTAGGCAAAATTACATGCACTTATAGGTGAAAGTAGGTGCACCTATAGTTATAAGTAGTTACACCTATGGTTATAAATAGTTGCACATATAGTTATAAGCACACCCAGGTGCATGAATGTTTGCGGAAAGTGAATGTTAACAAGAAAAAATTACATGCACTTATAGGTGAAAGTAGATGCATTTGTTAATGATTTTACTTGCACCTAGATGTTCAATTATTTACGAAAATGCCACTGCGTTTTTTTTTTTAATTTATTAGATCTGGACACGTGTCGCGCGCTGATTCATTCGCATTTCCTTCCTGGGCACTTATTCGCACCTGAGTGCGTCCCTATATATATATATATATATATATATAATTAAGTTCTAGTGCGGGTGCATGTTTCCCGTGCGGTTGTACAGTGAGTAATGTACGTGAGTTTTGTACTTAAAGTGCGTGAGGCTTGTGCTTAAGGTGCGTGAGTTTTAGGTGCGTAGGTTTGTACTTAATGTGAGTAGTTGTTGAAACTTAAGATGTATGAATTTTGTGTTTAAGGTGCGTGGGTTTGTGTTCTGAATGTATTTTGTTTGTGTGCTTAATGTGCATGTGTTGTGTATTTAAAGTGCGTCAGTTTAATGCTTAATGTGAGTACAACCGCACAGAAAGCCCCCTCTCGCACCTTATCGCTTCCATATATATATATATATATATATATATATATATATATATATATATATATATATATATATATATATATATATATATATATATATATATATATATATATATATATATATATATATATATATATATAGGGATGCACTCAGGTGCGAATAAGTGCTCAGGAGGGAAATGCGAACGAATCAGCGCGCGACACGTGTCCAGATCTAATAACTTAAAAAAAAAACGCGGTGGCATTTTCGTAAATAATTGAACATCGAAGTGCAAGTAAAATCACTTACAAGTGCACCTACTTTCACCTATAAGTGGATGTAATTTCCCTTGTTAGCATTCACTTTCCGCAAACATTCATGCACCTGGGTGTGCTTATAACTATATGTGCAACTATTTATAACTATAGGTGCAACTACTTATAACTATAGGTGCACCTACTTTCACTATAAGTGCATGTAATTTTGCCTTGTTAGCATTTACTTTCCGCAAACATTCATGCACCTGGGTGTGCTTATAACTATAAGTGCAACTACTTATAACTATAGGTGCACCTACTTTCACCTATAAGTGCATGTAATTTTGCCTTGTTAACATTCATTGATTTGAGTTCAGCGGGTAGTAATACCCCTGAAAACCACTCGCAAACATTCGTACACCTAGGTGCAACTACTTATAACTATGTGTGCAACTACTTAGAACTATAGGTGCAACTAAGTATTGATGCTCAGTGTACATTTTTACTTGCACCTATAATACATTTTACATGCACTTGTAATACATTTTACTTGCACTTCGATGTTCAATTATTTACGCAAATGCCACCGCATTTTTTAAAAAAATCAGTGTTTCTCATCCATTAGATCTGGACACGTGGACGAACAGAATTCATTCCTATTTCGCGCCTGGGCGAAGCATTCGCACCTGAGTGCGATTATATATATATATATATATATATATATATATATATATATATATATATATATATATATATATATATATATATATATATATATGATGGAAAAAATTGACCCTAGGGTATGTAATTATATATACGGGTCAATAATCTCCGTAAGAAAATAAGAATGATGTAAAGTGATTGCATGGAACCAATAAACAAACACAATTCAAGGATTTAACGTGGAAACCAAAGCGGTGAAAACTACGGGCCTTTTTGGGCTAAGCCAAGCCGAAAGTTCTTTGTTATATATTTGTAGGTGTAGTACATGTGAATAGGTAGGTCATGACCATAGAATAATGAAAGAGGGAGGAGAATATGTAGAAGAGATGTTTTATATTTGAGACTCGCGTACCCTCCTTTGTTTGCAGCCGGGAGCCTTTATATAATGTCATTCTTGTGCAGTTGTAACTTCCCGTAGCCTTTCCTATTTTCTTGCCATGACTTCTGCCCTTCCCTATTTTCTTGCCATGACTTCTTCCCTTTGACTAACATTATTATTATTATAATTAATAATAATAATAATAATAATAATAATAATTTAGCATGCATATTATATTATTCCATCAAAATATATATATATATATATATATATATATATATATATATATATATATATATATATATATATATATATATATTTCAACCACGATGAATTATCAATTGGTTACATTTCTTACAAAAAGTCTTGTTATTATGGGAGTACAGTTAGGCCTCATATATATATGTCAACCAGTAAAATAAAAAAATAAAAAAAAATTAAAGTATAAATTTACGTATATATATTAACCAAAGATGGAATATAATCATTTATTACGTACAAAAGCACTTATTTCCACTATCATAAATTATGCATCATATAACAATTAAAATGTCTAAAATCCCTTGGATCTTGACGACTTAATACACATTAATTTTTTTTTTTATATATATAATAATAATAATAATATGGTTCCAAATTTAATGGATTTTGCTACGCTCCACAATTCGTACCGGGAATCCTTCCTTCATCCTGCAACTGATGTACGACACACACAGTGGCTGGCCGCTACCCGCGACGGCCACCACGTGGAACCGCCGCAAGACGGCGGCCGCCACCCACTTAAGCTGCATGAATGCGATATCCTTCCCCAGGCATATCCTCGGCCCGGCCTGAAAGATTGGGTAGTTGAAAGCGTCCTTTGGGACGAAACTCCACTGCTCCTCCCCCTCTTCCTTCTTCAGCCACCGCTCCGGCCGGAATTTCGCCCAGTCATCCCCCCACAGCTCCGCCGATCGCCCCACCGCGTAGGTGTGGCAAATGACGCCCATGCCCTTCTGCACTCTCGTCCCGTCCGGCCACACGTCGTCCTCCCTGGCTTGTTTTCCTTCTAGCGGGACCGGCGGGTTGAGCCTCATGCTTTCCGCAATGGCGGCGTGAGTGTATACCAGATCTTTGAGTTTTCCGTTATCGTAATCTTCGATTTCGGCTAGGATCTTCTTTTCTACCTCGGGGTGCTGAGCGATAATCCAGAACAGCCAAGTGAAAGCGGAAACCATGGTGTCGACGCCGCCGAGAACGATGGCAATGGCGGCGTCGATAAGGAACGTTTCGTCTGATATTTTCCGGCTCATTAACCTCGACAAGAAATCATCGCCATACTCCTTCCTTTCTCTAATTAACTTCCTGATCAATCTCCGGAGTATAGCCACCGCCCGGCGGAGCCGCCACTCAGTCCCGACGTCTAGAATCTTCTGAACTTTCCACAACGACATGAACGGGGAGAGGCACCTATTCCAGCTTATCTCGATGGCGTCATCAAACGCGTCTCCGAACTCCATTTCCGGGAGCGACGGCGAGAGGTAGGCGAGGTCGTGGCCGAGGCCGAGCATGGCCACCACGTCGAAAGTGAACCGCCGGAGAATATCCTGGAAATCCAAGACCGTTTTCTTGTCGGCGGCGTCTGAGAGGAGAGGAAACAGGCGGCCGGAAATCTCCTTCTTGGTGATATTCTCGATGAAGCCAATGAAAGACTTGGAGTGAAACTCGGCGCCGTAAAGCAGCCTCTGCTTCTTCCAATACTCCCCGTCGGCGAGGAAAAGGCTCCCGCCGAACAAGTCCAAGAAAGAAACCTCGAAGTTCTTCGACTTGGGGTAATCCTTAAACCTCGTCTTCATTATATGCTGAATGTTCTTTGGGTTGGCGGTTAGAACCCTCGCCCGGCCGAATGGGAACCGGAGGTAGAACGTCGACGTCGGACACTTGTGCACAATCTCCGCCGTCCAGTCCAAGATCGTCTTCTGGTTCTTAAGCATGGAAAAGATATGGCCGAACATGGGGTACGATCTTGGGAGGCCACTTTTGGGAGCCGGCACCAACCTAATATATACGAGGAAGAACACAACAAGGCAGAACAGCCAAGCACATAGGATTTGGATAATGTCTTCCATGGCTGAACAGTGCGAAGTCGTTTGTTCGATTCAGCACCGCCGGCGGCCAAGATCAGACTAGCTTAGCTTGTGTTTCCGCTCTCTGCCTCTCCCTCGTTCATTTCACAAACGTATTTATACTTCAAGGGAGATGGTGGAAGGACAGGGAAAAACGTGGAAACTTTTGGGTCCCACGTGGGGTCCGTGTATTAAGGGTTGAGTGAAAATGCACCCACTGAATGGCAAAATTTATATGGTACGGACCCATCTATCACTTTTAATTTAATTGGGGTACTCTTCTTATTAATGTGGTAATTCGTCCCAATTCAAGTACTAAGATGACAACACTCACCCCGCCACCACGAGTATCCCTACCTACATTTTACTCTTTATATATATATATATATGGGACTATTCTAACATTGTCATCTAAGAGAATTAATACTATTTTTTTTTTTGAAAGGATGAGGAGAATATCCAAAGATTAGTAAATAATTCTCACTGTATCGGACGAAGCCAAGACTCCAAGCTCATTCTCTCACAAATTAATACTATTAGATACCCGAAGTGGGGGTATCCAGTTGTTATAGCTAGGCAATTAGACCTTGTAGGCGGTCAGCCCCATGACCCGCTGCGACTGCGAAGCAAGAAGTCAGACATCCTAGAGGCAATTTGTACCATATTACCCACCCTACACCAGGATGAGAAAGTGACCAGCCTGCGGACTAGTACCAGGTAGCTAGTTTGCTGACCAAAACCGTACAACCAGCCTGTCGACCAGCATGATGTGCTTAGCTTGCCAACTAGCCAAGGTGATCAGCCCGCCGCCCAGCACTAGGCATCCAGCCTACCGACTAGCACCAGCTAGCATGCTGACCAGCAGCAGGTAGACAACCAGCCGATCAGCACCCAGTCGGGAGCACCAAGTAGCTCAGTTAGTCAGTACTGTCCTCTAGGCGGTTGGGCGCGGGAGGACAGTAAGCAAGGAAACGGGCGAAATGCTAAGACTCGACACGCGATTGACTAGTCTTGGCAGCTAGCCAGCTTAGGCAACCAGCCAGCATGGGTGGCCGCACAAGCGCTAAGCAGTTCGGCCAGTCAGTACTGCCCGCTAGCTGGTCGGGCTCAAGTGGTCAGGAAGCAATGAGACTGGCGAGACGTAAAACCCAGAGAATCTGGAAGAGTATTATCTTAGCTTAGACATTTTTTCAGATTTGGGGGTTGAGATTTCCTTCTCTAGAGAAAAGGGTCAAATAGACCCTTAAACTTTATTCAAAAGGGCAATTAGGCCCCTGAACTTTATAAAAGAGCAACTAAACATTTGAACTTGTCATTTTGGAGCATCTAAGCCCAGTAGCCGGTTATTTACTTGAAATAACAGGTCATTTAAAATTCCGGCGAAAAAATAAAATTTCCGGCGATGAATTTTTTTTTTTTTTTAAAAGCCTTCCACCGGAGAACAACCGGCCGGTGGTCTTCTCCGGTAGAGAAGGCGACCAGCACCTCTAGTCGTCCTCTCCAATGGAGAAGGCGACCAGATCTGGTCGCCATCTCCATTGGAGAGGACGACCAGAGGTGCTGGTCACCTTCTCCAATGGAGAAGACGACCAGAGGTCGTCCGGTCGTCCTCTCCAATGGAGAAGGCGACTAGTCCGGTCGTCCTCTCCAATGGAGAAGGCGACCAGATTTGGTCACCTTCTCCATGGGAGAGGACGACCTCTGGTCGACCGAACAGTCTTCTCCAATGGAGAAAACGACCGGAAATTTCTCCGGCGTTTTTTTTTTTTTTTTTTTTTTTTTTTTAAGGTTTTTAGGTTTTTAGCATGGTCGACCATGAATTCCGGCAGTCAAACTTGTTGGTTACCTGTAAATTGGGCTTATTTGACTCAAAATGATAAGTTTAAGTGTTTAATTGTACTTTTTCAAGTTCAGATGCCTAATTGCCCTTTTGAGTAAAGTTCAAGGGTCGATTTGTCCCTTTTCTCTTATCTATCATGAAGAAATGGATCCCACAACTTCATAAATAAATCCCAAATTCATTTTGGAAGGTTTCTAAAGGTTAAATTTGTTATTTTTTTGTTCTTTCCTTTCTTGATACCCGCTAGCAGACACATTATAAGGGGTTGGACATCTACTCTCTAGCAAGGGGAGGCATCCACTCTCTGGCTAGCTATAAGGGTTCACGACTACCATTGTCTAGGAAGAGAGAAAGGCCGCCACTCTCTAGCCGCAAAGGGGAGCTCAATCGACATCTACATCTTTTTAGATAAAAATACACTTGTACATATATAAACTATCTACAAAAAAAATAGTGGATTTCGTCTTGACACCGCTCAAAAAACCAGTAATTTTTCACCATCTCGATTTCCACATAAAAAAATACTGTCTCCCTTTATCTTTTTTTCTCCCAAATTATTTACGTTTCATTCATTAAATTGGTTATATTACCCGCTGACCGGCTACCCTGTAGTCATAAAACCCATAAATACAGTCAAATTTCTGTCGAGCATGTTTAGAAATAACTCTTTCAAAATCTGTTTTATAGGTCCGCATGCTGAACTGGTGAGCTAAAGATCTGCCAAAGTTCGAACCTACTAAAAATGGGCAAAGAACCGGCCTAGATATCGGCAAAAGCATTGCCGACCTAGACATCGGCAAGTGCTTTGCGGACCTGAAGGTTGGCAAATGACAGCAAATTGGGTTGCGGACCTAGAGTTCGGTAATTACTCTTAAGGGATTGTTTGCATGCATTATTGCCGACCGATGGCGGGCAATTTATATCCTACACCACGGCGCGCGTTGCATTATGTGCCCAGATGCAAAACAACGTCGTTTTAATTATTTTCTTTTTTGAAATTTTCCCGCCCCAGTGAATGGCAATAATTTTTTCTTTAAAAAAAAAACCCGCTGTTCAAGAATGTACATAATGTTATACTAGAATACACATAATGTTATACATGAATGTACATAATTATATAACAAAATATACATACTCTTTTTAAAAGATAATACACATAATCTAACATAATACATAATAAACATAAACTTTTAACATAATACACATCAACTCTTAACATAATACACACAAATTTTCTGATTCGGATGTACATAATTGTATAAAAAGAATGTACATAATTGTATAAAAAATACACATAACTGTATGAACCAATACACATAACGTTGTGAACAAATACACATAAAGTTGTGAACAAATACACATAATCTCAGCAACTTCCTACCGCGCCTTCCAACACTACCCCAAAACGACGTCGTTTTGGGAGGCGCGCGGCGCACATTGCTATGTGCGCCGTGGTGTAGGATATAACGATTGCCGATGGCGCATTACGTACTATTGCTACGTAAACTTACATGGATGTATAAGTATGCATATCAAAATCAAATATCATTATGTTTGCATATTGTTAAATGGCAAATTATTGTATGTAACATGGTCCACACATTGTTATGTGGACCATAATAAAAAGTACATTTTTAATATATTGAATGTATGTTATTTTTGTAGTGAATATATATATTATACAATATAATGTACAATCAGTAAAAAATAATGTACATTCTCGGAATATAATGTATATTATTTTTATATTGAATGTACATTATTTTTATACTGAGTGTACATTATTTTTGTACTGAATGTACATTATTTTATAGTATTCAAAATATGGTCCACACAACTTGTGTGCACCATGGTCCACACAATAATGATTGTTGTTAAATTATATATATATAATAACATTTTTTCTTCCTGAATTATTCAAGTAAACACATTAGTACATTACCCCTGAGTTACATACATATAGTACTTTTTCTTCCTGAATTATTCAAGTAAACACATTAGCCCCCTCAATTATTCTAAAAGTGACGATTTCCCCCCTGATATATTAAAGTAACATTTCTATCCATAAAGTAAACATTTTATTTATTTTTCTTCTCCAACAATTCAAATTATTGCGCATACGTAGGGATGACCACGGTTCGGTTCGAACTGAACAGGACACTATAGCAATCGCATTAAAAGTTTCCGGTTATGATTCGGATTCAGAACCCAATATTTGGATTTCAGTTTATTAAAATTATTAATCGAAAAACTGGATCCTGAATCGTACATGAATCGACGATTTTGGATCTGGTTCGCGATTTTGAACCGTCTTTATTTTAAAATTTTATTTTTTATTTTAAAATAGTCTAAATTTAACAATAAATGTATTTTATTTTTTTCAGTTCGGAACATGAACCAGCCGTTTCAGTTCACGATTTTAATAAACTCTAAGTATCGGGTTTAGATTCTAAATTGTAATTGGAATATTTCGGTTTAGTTGCTATAGTGTCTAATTGGTTTAAACCAAATTGTGGTCATAATTTGTTGGAGAAGAAAAATAAATGAAATAATTATTTTAAGGGTAAATATGTCCATTTAACATTTCAGTGAGAAAAAATAACTACTTGAATAATTCAGGGGGGAAAAGTGGTATAAGTATATAACTCAGGGGGAAAAAGTGTTTATATATATATATATATATATATATATATATATATATATATATATATATATATATATATAGGGAATGGATCAGCTGCGGGTGGTGCTTCCCGTGTGATTGTGCGGGTGGACACACATTAAACATTACACTGGCGCACTTTAAGTACACAACACACGCACATTAAACACACAAACAAAATACATTATATTCAGAACATAAACTCACGCACCTTAAGCACAAAATTCACGCATCTTAAGCACAACACTCACGCACCTTAAACACAAAAGTCACGCGTATTAAGCACAAAAACACACGCACATTAAGTTTTAACAACAACTCATATTAAGTACACACTCACGCACATTAAGTACAATACTCACGCACCTTAAGCACAAGACTCACGCACCTTAAGCACAAAACTCACGCACATTAAGCACAAAACTCATGCACTTTAAAGTTTCAACAACAACACACATTAAGTGAACACTCACGCACATTAAGCACACAACTCATGCACCTTATGCACAAGACTCACGCACCTTAAGTACCAAACTCACACACATTAAGCACTACACACTCACTCATTAAGCACAAACCTCACGCACCTTAAGTACAAGACTCACGCACATTAAGTACAAAACTCACGCATATTAATCACCCGCACAACCGCACGGGAAACATTCACCTGCACTAGAACTTGAACATATATATATATATATATATATATATATATATATATATATATATATATATATATATATATATATATATATATATATATATATATATATATATATATATATATATATATTTGGTGAGTAAAGAGGAGCTTAGCGCTCCAGAGAATTAAGTGATCATTCTAGTGGCCACAGAATGACTATCACGCACCAAGAGATTATCTAAACCATTAGGCGGGTTGTCCCAAACTGTAGTTCCCCAAGTATTATTCTGACCCAGGTTGGTCAGAAAATCTGCACACTGATTCCCTTCCCGTAAGACGTGGTTAAGGCGACACTCCTGGAACACTGTCATCAGATCTTTGCAATCTAAGATTAAGGTGTCGGCTTCCGGACTAGACCCCGAGCAGTTTTGAATGGCTTGGACCAAGGCTTCCGAGTCCGATTCAGCCACAATTTTTGCATAACCTTTGATCTTGGCCACCCGGAGACCCTCGCGAAGAGCCCAGATTTCTGCAATATAGCTGTTGGTTGGGCCAATTTTCGTAGTGAACCCAGTGATCCAGCTGCCTTGCCAATCGCGAATGAGACCACCAGCACTAGCTAAACCCGTGGTGGTTTTTCTGGCGCCATCTGTATTGAGTTTAAACCAACCTTGGGGAGGCGGAGTCCAGTGAATCCACTTTTGAGTACCTCCCATAATGTCTGCATGTTTGGTAAGATACCGCCTGGCTTCCTCGGCATCGTCTTTTGCCCGTCTGAGGATCTCCGCAGCCGCGACATCCTTGGAGTTGAAGACAAACTCATTCCTGGCTTTCCATAAGTTCCAGAGTAAGTGCGGGAAAAGGGACATCCATTAGTTGCTAGTAGCGTAGGTAGCCGAACCAATGCAGTTCCCTTTCACCCAGTCTATCAGTGACATGATGGATGATGGATTGAAAGAAGTTGGCGCTCCAGAAATGCTCCAGCAGTCCATGGCTTTGTCACAACGCCTTAGAAGGTGATCCAGGGATTCGTTGTCTTCGTTGCATCTCGGACAACTCCCACTCATTGTCAAGCCACGTCTCCTTCTCTCCTCATTGACAAGCAGCCCATTGTTCACCAGCTTCCAAATGGCGTAGTGGAGTAGCTGAGAGGAACTGCCCGAATGGCGTTAACTACGGCTTTCGGCAGCATTTGTTGGAGGGCGTTGATATTCCAATCTTTATTTTCAGTAATAAGGTGGCCAACAGTCGTAAGATGACCATCCGGTGGAGTTGTAATGTTTGGTAACGAACTGATTGGCCCCACGCCCATCCAATGATCGTTCCAAAAATTTAGGGAGTTACTATTCCCAACTTTCCACCTGATACCGTTCCGTAAAACCCTTCTTCCCTTCATAATGCTTTTCCACGTCCAAGAAGAACTGGGCGTGGCATCAACATGTAAGAAATTGGAGTTTTTTACGTACTTTTCTTTTAAAACATTGACCCAAAGCTTGTTCTTGTTAGTAGCCATATGCCAAGCCATTTTAGCAAGAAAGGCCATATTACAGTCTTTAGCTTGGCGCAGACCAAGACCACCACTTTCACGGGGCATACAAATATCAACCTAGTTGACAGTGTGCATTTTTCTTGTATCCTCCGAGTGACCCCACAAGAAATTCCTACAAATTTTGTCAATGGTATTGCATGTACTTACCAGGAGTCTCATAGATTGCATCGCGTAGGTTGGGGTCGTAGCTAGGGAAGCCTGAACCAGAATCCTTCTACCAGCCATACTCAGAGCACTGGCTTTCCAGGTAGCTAGTTTCTTTCTCATCTTATCGATGACACTCGTAAAAGTGTCCTTAGAGACACGTTTGTGCAGTAAGGGAATTCCAAGATAAGACCCTAAATTTGGAGAAATAGGAATCCCCATCTTCTCTCCAATTTTTCGCTTTAAATCTGCATTAGTATTAGTGGAACAGAAAATCTGAGACTTTGAGAGGCTTACCTTGAGGCCGGAAACAACACTAAGCTTATTAAGGCAGTCCATCATAGTCTTAGCTTGGCGCTCCGAGGCTTCACCAAAAAGCATCAGATCATCTGCAAAAAAGAGATGAGAAATACCAATACCACCTCGCGAGAGAGAAATTGGTTTCCACTTCCCCGAGTTGATCTCATTCTGGATGTCAAAAGCCAACCTTTCCATGATAAGATTGAACATATAGGGGGCCAAAGGATCGCCTGTCGGAGCCCCCTACCCGGAGAGAACGGGGGGAGACGGCCCCCATTCCACAAAATAGAGATATCACTATTCTCAAGAGAGAAAAGGATGAGCCGCACAAGGGAACTAGGAAAACCGAACTCGTCAAGGGTATCTTTCAGAAAGGACCAGTTAACACTGTCATAAGCTTTATGGAGATCAATTTTAACCACCATCAACCCCTTACGCCCTTTCTTTTTATTCATCGTGTGGATAACTTCCTGAGTAAGGATAATGTTATCCATAGTAGAACGGCCCTGTAGAAAACTGTTTTGATGAGGGCCAATGAGGCGACACATGATAGGCCTCAGCCTGTTAACGAGGACTTTGGAAATGATCTTAAACGCCACGTTAAGAAGGGTAATAGGACGAAAATCAGCCGCAGTTTCAGGCACCTCCTTCTTAGGGATGAGGGTAATAAAGGCTTGGAGAAGGGACGTAGGCACGGTACCACTGAAGATTGCCCGATTGACTAGGTTAGTAACCGCCGCCCCAATATGGTCCCAAAACTTTTGGTAGAAAGCCGGTGGAATGCCATCAGGACCGGGACTGCCAAATCTTTTCATACCAAACACTGCTTTTTTAACTTCCTCTCGTGAAGCAATTTTTATTAACGATCTAACTTCAATTGAAGAGACTTTGTGGGTATCCGTGATAGGAACCATCCTGGTTCTGTTATCAGTATTCACTTTACCAAAGAGACCCGAGAAGAACGAAGTAATGTGATTAGCCAAAATAAGCGGATCGTTTGACCAAGTGCCTTGAACTTTAAGGAATCTAACCCTGTTTTTATTCCTTCTGATCACAGCAAAATTATGATAGAAACGGGTGTTTCTATCTCCATCTCTAATCCAATCCATTCTTGACTTTTGAAACGAAAAAGCCTCTTCCTGATCCAGAATGTGACTAAGCTCAAAAGTAAGCTTATTATTTAAAGCCTGCAGGCTTCCTGAGACCATAAAATTAGGGTGTTGTTGAATACCACGAATTCTTGACTCCAGGTTCCTTTTATTCTTGAAGATATTCCCAAAAACTTCCTTGTTCCACTGTTTGCTCTTCTCTGTAATGTCCGTGATGATGTCGTCAATGCTACGGTCCTCAAATCTACCAGCCTCTTTCCAAATCAGTGCATAGTCACTTCTAGATAACCAAGCGGCTTCAAAACGGAAGGGGCGGAGATTCCGATCAGGAGGACCACCAGCTGCATCCTTAAACATCAAAGGATTTTGATCTGAGTGTAATCTAGGGAGAGCCACCACTTTTGCCTCCGGGAAGGATAATTAAGCAGTCATGTTCCAAAGAATCCTATCTAGGCGGCGTAACTGAGTGACCCGATTCCCCACATAACGACACCACGTGAACTTAGACCCAGAGACCCCCGGATTGAAAAGCCCACACGCATTAAAGGCATCACTAAATCTTTGCATACCAACGTGATTCACGACATCACTTCCCCACTGTTCATCAGAAGCAGCAATATCGTTCAGATCTCCAAGAAGTATCCAAGCCCCTCGAATAGAATTGGAAAACTGCTTGCAACTTTCCCAAAATCTATTCTTAGCCATCAAATTAGGCCTAACATAGGCAAAAGTAACAAAGCACTCATCAGGCCTATTTTTAATCTTCGCGTGAATAGCCTGGGATGAATGATTAATAATATCGAAATCGATTTGACCCTGTTTCCATAAAAGAAGCAGACCACCTGCAAAACCAATAGGCTCGACCAATAAATGGTTAGAAAACCCAAGCTTACTGGCCATGTTAACCATGCCCTCAACCTTGGGAGAACGAATCTCGAGGAGGCAAAGGGCGTCGGCTTTAGACGTTGTAAGAAGCTCTTTAACGTGATTCTTAACACGTCTGTTTACCACCCCCTTGCAATTCCACGAGATTAAAATCATTGAGACACCGCTTTGGTGAGGGAAGTTTGAGAACCGCCTTCCCCAGGCGTGATACACATACTCGTAAGGTCACCTATCAAAGGTGCAGTAACCGGGACCCCATCCGCGAAAGCAGCAGAATCCCCGAAACGGAAAAGAGGATCCATGGTACCTTCCCCAAGTCCAGTGACCGGAGTTAACGGAACCTGTGGATCCACCCTCATGTTGCCACGGCTTCCCGCTCCTCTCCCATTACCACGATTAGCCACCCTAACACCACCACGACCCCTGTTACTACCCTTGTCGGAAACCCGGGAGACAGTGGTGTTTAGTGAAGCCGTCTGTATAACCGTAGGAGAGAAATGAGGAGGCGGAGGACGCGGCTGATCCGGAAGGCAACCAGAAGGATTAGTAAACAAACCTGTCGTATCCCTATTCGCGGTAGAGGTCGGAGCAGGTGGAGGAACCGGCTGGGCGCTAACCACCGGTTGCTCATCTAGATTAGACAAAGGAGCAAACTTATTACCTCTGGGGCGATTGGCACCATTTTGCTGTTTAATGGGGCGACTATTTTTCTTAGGAGCTTGTTCTGAGTTCTTCCTTGTCACAAGCATCCAGGCCCCATAGCGAGGTTTAGTAACGACAGCAGACTGCTGCCCCATGGCACTTGGAGAAGGTTGAGAATTGGAAAAAGGAGTCTGTTGTTGGCTGGCAATAGGAGGCGATTGAAGATTTGCATTAGGAGTCGGTTGGAGATTGGCGTTAAGGTTCGGTTGAGGATTAGCGTCAAAAGATGTCTGCTGATTGTCTCCCTCATTCTCAGCCATGGGAGTTTCGTTTAGGTCCATAGTACAACCCGCCTGATTATTGCATTTGTTCTGGGGGCAAGATTGATCTCTATGACCAATTGTTCCACACGTAAAACAAACAACATGCAGGCTCTCGTATTCTACTATTTGGATTTGATCCTCTACCCAAACTTCAGTAACCAGTGGTGCGTCAATATCAATCTCAACCGCAGCTCTCGCATAACGACCTTTGACGACCCCCACTGTTGTCCGGTCCAATTTCAGAGGCTTACCAACACCTTCAAGGACGCCCTTGATTATATCATCCCTGAAGTATTCGACTGCAAGACGTGGTAGCCTAACCCAAACCGCCATCTTCGAGATCTTCGCCGTGGCGGGATCAAACTTCGGTTCCGAACGTTGTATAACCAGATAGTTGTCGAAGATTTTCCAAGGCCCATCAAGGAGGACATGCAGGTACTCCGTGGGATATATATATATATATATATATATATATATATATATATATATATATATATATATATATATGTATATATATATATGCACCAACAATATTAGAAAATGCATAACATTAAATGCACCACACAGTGTTCGGAAATGCATAATTAGGTGTTAGAAGTTATGGTGCCTTTTGTTAACACTATTCGTGCATTTTTCCAGAAGGCGCGGCCGCAGTTGAGCAGACTTCTATATATATATATATATATATATATATATATATATATATATATATATATATATATATATATATATATATATATATATATATGTTAACACTATTCGTGCATTTTTCCAGAAGGCGCGGCCGCAGTTGAGCAGACTTCTATATATATATATATATATATATATATATATATATATATATATATATATATATATATATATATATATATATAAAGAATCACATGAGAACGGATGCGTTGGAAAGGTTCCACCGTCAGCTTTAAGGGTTCAGGTTTGTCCTACGAATCCTACTTGTTACACTCAAGCCGTTAAATATTCCGAATGACGTGATGCTATGGATTAAGAATTTATTGCCCTCCTACAAAATCAGACATGGCAGCTTGGGCCATTTACGCCAGGCATGAACATTATTGGGTGTAAGTGGAATTTTCGTACAAAACGAAAAGTTGATGGCTCCATTGAGAGACATAAGACAAGACTTGTATCAAAATGATTTAATCAGGTGCCTAGTCAGGACTTTTTTGACACATTCAGTCCAGTGGTTAAACCAACCACAGTCAGGTTACTTCTTTCCCTGGCTTTATCATCTGGGTGGTCTATTAAGCAATTGGATATTCATAATGCTTTCTTGAATGGAAATCTCTCTGAAATTGTGTATATGAAGCAACCACCTGGATATATTGATGCTTACTATCCGAATCATGTTTTCCTATTGAAGAGGTCGCTTTATGGATTAAAACAGGCATCTAGAGCCTGGTTTAATCGTTCGCACACCTTTCTACTATCTATTGGTTTTCAGGCATAAAAACGGACGTATCCTTATTTTACTACTCTCAAGGATCTGATTGTGTATATCTATTAGTTTATGTGGATGATATACTTATGGTGGGCAGCAATACGAATCTAGTTACTCAGCTAGTTTCGAAACTCTCTACTGCTTTTAATATTAGAGATCTTGGTGAGCCAGGATTTTTTCTTGGAATTGAGGCAGTCAAATGCAGTGATGGAATTTTACTTTCTCAACAGAGATACATGCATGATATTCTAAAGCATGCTGGAATGGCAGAATGAAAACCATTGTCTACCCCTATTCCCACATCGAAACTCGTGACTTCTACTACAGTGTTACATGATGATCCAACAAAGTACAAAAGTTTAGATGGTGCATTACAATATTTAACTATCACTCGTCCTGATCTTTCCTTTGTAGTCAATCAGTTGTGTTAACATATGCATGCCCCTACAATTACTCACTGGGAACAACTAAAGAGAGTTTTAAGGTATGTTAAAGAAACTGTTAATTTTGGTCTACGAGTCAGACAGTCATCCTCGAGAAAAATTCATGCCATATCTGATTCTGACTGGGAAAGAAGCAAAGAATTGTTGCTAGATCTTCTACTGAGGCTAAATATAAAGCTATAGAAGATGTTTGTGCTGAGGAAATTTGGATCATGTCCATTCTACGCGAAATTCATGTTCCAGGTATTTCAGTTCCTAAATTATGGTGTGATAATCTTGGACCTACATGTATGTGTGGCAATCCCATCTTTCATGCTCGCATCAAACATGTAGAGATAGATTATCACTTTGTGCGAGATAGAGTTGCTGTTGGAGAAATTCAGGTTAACTTCATCTCTCTCTCTCTATATATATATATATATATATATATATATATATATATATATATATATATATATATATATATATATATATATATATATATATATATATATATATAGATTTAGGATCATATGAGAACACTTGTTTAGCTGAGAACGTGAGAACAAATCGTGTGCATCCAGTTAATGGTCTAGATTAGATTAAGTGTGTGCGAACGCGAATTAAATGTGTGCAAATGCGATTAAGTGTGTTCACACACATTTAATTCGCGTTTGCACACACTTAAGCTAATATAGACCATTAAAAAATATTAGTGGATGCACACGATTTGTTCTCACATTCTCACCTAAGCAAGTGTTCTCATTGGAATCCTACTATCTCTCTCTCTCTCTCTCTCTCTCTCTATATATATATATATATATATATATATATATATATATATATATATATATATATATATATATATGTGTGTGTGTGTGTGTGTGTGTGTGTGTGTGTGTGTGTGTGTGTGTGTGTGTGTGTGTTTGTGTGTGTGTGTGTGTGTGTTTGTTTAAGTTCCAGTGCGGGTGAATGGTTCACGTGGGGTTGTGCCGTTGATTAATGTGCGTGAGTTTTGTACTTAATGTGCGTGAGTCTTGTGCTTAAGATGCGCGAGGTTTGTGCTTAATGTGTATGAGCGTGTAGTGCTTAATGTGCGTGAGTTTTGTACTTAAGGTGCGTGTGTCTTGTGCTTAAGGTGCGTGAGTTGTGTGCTTAACGTGCGTGAGTGTGTACTTAATGTGAGTTGTTGTTGAAACTTTAAAGTGCATGAGTTTTGTGTGCTTAATGTGCGTGAGTTTTGTGCTTAAGGTGCGTAAGTCTTGTGCTTAATAAGGTGCGTGAGTTTTGTACTTAATGTGCCTGAGTGCGTACTTAATGTGATTTGTTGTTAAAACTTAAGGTACGTGTGTTTTTGTGCTTAAGGTGCGTGTGTTTTGTGCTTAAGGTGCGTGAGAGTTGTGCTTAAGATGCGTGAGTTTTGTACTTAAGGTGCGTGAGTTTTTGTTCTGAATGTATTTTGTTTGTGTGTTTAATGTGCGTCTGTTGTGTACTTAAAGTGCGCCAGTGTAATGCTTAATGTAAGTCCACCCGCACAACCGCACGGGAAGCATCACCCGCACCTGATCCCTTCCCTATATATATATATATATATATATATATATATATATATATATATATATATATATATATATATATATATATTGGTTCTTGTAAGAACATGCCTTCACGTGCGATCAATGCGACATACACCATTAAGTATGCATAAATGCACTATATAGTGTTCGAGAATATACACCAGAATGAAATCTCATCAAAAAATGCACGACACATAAAAAAAAATGCACCACACATAAAAAAAAATGCCCCACACATAAAAAAAAATGCACCACACATAATGGTGTATTTTTAAACACTGTGTGGTGCATTTATGCATACCTAATGGTGTATGCCGCATTGACCGCACAGGGAAGACCTGTTCTCACAGGAACCTGACCCTATATGTATATATATATATATATATATATATATATATATATATATATAAGAACTTGCTATCACACATTCATTTAAATTTGGTTTTTTTAGTAAATTATTCCTTTATGTTAACTTCTTGGATCTTTAACCAACTGCATATAAAAGAGTCAAATTAAATTAAAATAATAATATATATACACACACATTACACGTATTTATACGAATGATAGGTCAACAAAGGAATAATACTATGAGTGCTATTACTTTTATGTTCACGGTGTACACGCGGCTATAATTAATTTATTGTTATTAAAAAATTTTAATTCTTGAATTTCATATATAGCAAGTTTTTGGAGAACTTGACAGTGTATTGATTGATATTGATGTCTCTTA